AGGACTCACCAGAGACAGAGTTGGGGAGCAGAACAGGCAGATCTACTGAGGGGAGCAGCTGCTGAGACAGGAGAGGTCTGCTGTGCCATGTGGGTTAGCTCTCCTGCCAGGGATTGAACTTGTGCTGCAGTGGCTGGAGATAGCTTGATCGCTCTGTGTCTTTAACCTCTGTGCCACCAAGGAGGCCCAGTTTTTTTTTATTAAAAAAGTTTGTATTTTTTTTTAAAGATTTATTTATTTATACAAGCACTGGGTACAGTCAGAAGCGTGGGAGGGTGAGAGAATTCACCAGAGCCAGAGTGGAGAGCAGAACAGGCAGACTGACGAAGTGCACTGCTGAGGGGAGCAGTGGGCGGCAGGAGAGGTCTGCACGCCACGTGGGACCCCTCATCCTGCAGCAGGGGATCGAACCGGCAATGCAGAGGCTGTGGGCAGCTTTGCAGCCCAGTGCTCAACCACTGCACCACCAGGGGAGGCCCAAAACTTTGTATTTTTTAAAAAAACAATAAATATACTAATTTACTTGTACATCCCATATTTCATTTCATTATTATATATAAATTAAACATGAAATCTAAAGGGTTAAGGGGTTTCCCCAAAGCACACAGCTCTACTATGACAGTCAAGAGTTAAATTCAGATTTTCTGATCCTCACTTTCCTCAGTTTTGTGAGGAAACTTACTAGGTTATTTACAGTCTGAACTTCAGACATTTTTGATTTTTGCTAGCTATTTTCATTGAAAATTTACCAGATAAATTGTCATGAACCATAGTTTTTCACCTGATTAACCTCTAACAATATTTGATAATTTCAAATAAGAGAAAAAAATAATGTTAACGCAGGTAAGGATCAAAAATGATGGGTCTTTGAAGGTCAGACTATGTTGAGAGTCCAGAATCCGTGAAAAACCAGATTTTTAATGTAATTGAGCCAATAGTGATCCCAAGCAAGCTAGATTCAAATTCATATTTATTCAAATTTTTTAACAGTAAGCTTGATAAATAAGAATGTCTATAAATTTTTACAATTAGAGACTCTCAATTGGGAGGAAAACATTTCAAAATTGCATTAAAATTTTAAGTATCTTTAAAAAAATTCCATAGGAGGACACATTTAAGCATTTTGACAATGAAATATTCTAGACATCTAAGTTACAATGAATATTACGTCATGTGTATTTTCCAAGAAATTAGAATAAAAATGACCTTTGTGTCCTTATTTTAAAGCCTTTTGTCATATATTTATAGTCAATAACAGAACTTCCATTTCACTTTCAGTTTGTAAAGTTTGTATTAGAAATTGCTGTTTGTTGTTATAGCATGGATATAAATTTGGATTTCAATTTTACTGTCCATTATTATGCCAAAGTACTTTTCTTGTATGCTATCATTCATCAACAATTGAGGAAAAAACAGCATTTTGACAAAGAAATGCTATTACACATGCAGATAGGACTGCTTTTATTGAAATCATCCCCCATCATTCTAAAGGAAAATTACTAACATCTGTTAAAACTAGAAATGTTCTTGAATCCCTCTACATTTTACATCTTGAACAGAATCCTAAAGAACAGGGCCAGGTGACTGGTCCAGGCCAACTCACTACAAATCAAAGTGAAATCAATTCTAAGTTGCAAGTATTATAAAAATCCAATAAAGTTCTAAGTTTGTCTATAGTGACTATGTCAATGCTTCTTAACCCCAGAATAATTTCTTTGGCTCCCCTTCATTTTCTGGTCCCTCTTGAGGATTCAGCACAAGGAAGTCAATCTCTGTCTTTTGGGGTAAGCTGGTCATATTTCAGGGAGGCAGTCAACTCTAGGTCCTGTTTTGCCAAGATTAGGTCCAACTGACCCTCTTTTGCCAAGATTATCTTGATTTAAAAACTGAAAATTTAGCATGCTGGAAACACTCAGTTGTTGGCAAGCTATTTTTAAATGGGATTTCTAGCAAATTTAGCAAAATCAGGATAGAATTTTGTCAATATTGTGCTTCTGAAAACTCACTTTACTAATATACACAAACACTTGGTGAAGGAATGAATATTGGCCCAACACATCACCTTTCATAATGGTTTCATCTCTGTTTATATATAAACATTTAAAAACATTTACTGCAGGCTGTTTATCTGTCATATATATATTGGGATGAAGTTCAGATGTTTCCTTGGGTGTATGCATCAGGAAATAAAGGATTTTATAAAAAATAACATCCAAATAAAATTTTATCTCCATTCCAATTTCATGAATTAGTTGTGCTCCTGCAAACAATTGCTTTAGAAGACTGATATTTTGCATTTCGATTAAAATCTAACTTTTAAAAAACTTTGCAAAACTTTGATATGAACATCTAATTTTTTCTTAGAACCATAGTGTTATTTTAAATTCTAGCCATAGTTTCCAAGATATATTAAGGTAAAACTTACATTCTTGGCAAAATATCACTGTTTCTGATTAATATTATAGGTGTTTTTGTCTACTGTCTGTACTGCTTATTTTAGTTTAACCACTACTTTCCAATTTACTTAATAACATACCACATAATCATGGTTTTTCTTAAACTGAATTTTCCTTATAAATGCTAGCATAAATTTTAATGACACACCTATAAAGATCTGGGCACAAATATAAAGTAGAAAAGATTAAAAAAAAATCACGATGACACCTTAATGATTGCTGATGTTATTCTTTATTCTGAGTTCTTAGAAATGCTATTGGCATCTTTATTTTTTTATTTTTAAAGATTGATTGATTGATTGATTGATTTATACAAGCATGGGTACAGTCAGAAGCGCCGGAGGGTGAGAGGAACAGAACAGGCAGACTGATGAAATACACTGCTGAGGGGAGCAGTGGGCAAGGCAGGAGAGGTCTGCTGTGCCATGTGGGTTGCTCCAGGACCAGCCCGGGGCCGAGCTCGTGCTGCAGAGGCTGCAGATGGCTTCATAGTGCTGTGCTTAACCCCTTGCGCCACCAGGGAGGAACCCATTTTCTTTTGGATATGTAAGAAACAGCTATAAATATTAGCAAAGTGGTTTTTTTATTTTTTGTTTTTCCCCTTTATTGAGGTAACTTTAGTTTACAACCCTGGATATAATTATGATTTAGGGGAGGAGGTTCACATGTCCTCAGATACATGTTACCACCCCATCCCCACTATCCAAGCACCCACAGTCCTTTACCCCAGACCCTTGTGTCCTCTCCCTCCTTGCTCCCACTCCCTTCCTTTCCCTCTAGTAACTTCAATTCTGTAGCCAACAGCCAAGTTCTGGAGACAACCTAAAGGCCCATCAAGTTGGTTAGGAAGGTGTGGTATACATACACAATGGAATACTACTCAGCTATAAAAAAGACAAAGTCTTGCCATTTGTGACAACTTGGACGGAACTGGAGGGACTATACCAGGCAGAACAAGTCAGTATGAGAAAGATAAATACTACATGATTTCACCAATATGTGGAACATAAAGGAACAAACCTAAGAAATAGACAAGAATAAACTAAAGCAAATCTCACTGTAGACTTAAGGGGGAGGGTAAGGGATAGGAAGCAAAGGGCTGAGGGGCCCCGAGGCCTGTGGGGTTGGATGATGGGGTGGTGGGTGTGGTGTGGTAACACATATCAGAGGAGGTGTAAACCTACACTCTGAAACCATAGTGTTGTAAACCAGTACGACTTCAATAAAAAAGACAATGAAAAAAGTGTAAAGTGATGATGCTCCTCTGTGAACATGCCAAAACATTTCTCACATAAAGAAATCAACAGATTTATGGCGAATTCACAAAAGAACCCTCAGGAGAGAAAATGGAGTATTGTTGGGCAACCGCAAGGCAGCGATGCAAGTGGAGGCCACACGGTTTGGTTGCTGTGTGAATGGGGTCCCTGGAGCCGGCTGCGCGTCCCCGGTGCCCTGCAGCCTCCAGAGATGTCCGTGCGTGTAGGGGCCACGCGGGAGGAGTCAGCAGCCTGGAGCGGCGGCCGAGAGACCAGGTAGCATTGTCCACTGGAGCACATTTTCTGGAGAGACTGTCCAAGCCCAGCAGAAAAGCCGAGATTCCTCAAAAGAGGAGGGTCCAAAGCTTAGCTATTGTAAACAGTGCTGCTATAAACATAGGGTGCAGGTGCTCTTTGGAATTGATGTTTCTGTGTCCTTTGGGTAAATACCTAGGAGGGGAATTGCTGGATCCTATGGAAGCTCTATGTTTAGTAGGTCCAGAAATCTCCACACAGCTCTCCATAGTGGTTGGACCAGTTTGCACTCCCACCAACAGTGCAGGAGAGTTCCTTTTTCTCCACACCCTCGCCAACATTTGTTGTTGCTAGTTTTTTTAATATGTGCCATTCTCACTGGTGTGAGATGGTATCTCATGGTAGTTTTGATTTGCATTTCCCTGATGACAAGTGATGTTGAACATTTTTTCATATGTCTGTTGGCCATTTGCATTTCCTCTTCAGAGAAGTTTCTTTTTAGCTCTTCTGCTCATTTTTTGACTGGATTATTTTCTTTGTTTTTGTTGAGTCTCATCAGCTCTTTGTAGATTTTGCAGCAACATGGATGGCGCTGGAAGGGATCATGCTCAGCGAAATAAGCCAGAAAGAAAAAGAAAAATACCGGATGGTCTCACTCATAGCAGGAATCCAGAAAACCTAAATAAGGGACCAGGCAAAAGAATAACTATAAGAAAGAAAATATCAAAATCAACAAACAACTATGAACCAGAGACACTCTATGGGGGGTTGGGGGGCGTGGAAAGGAGGGCTTGGGGGTCAAAATAAGGGGGTTGTAATTGTATGGGGAATATAAAAATAAAATTTAAATTAAAAAAAAAGAGGAGGGTCCAGTGATCAGGGAGATCGAGGAGGGTCCAGTGATCATGGTTGCTGTCACGGTCGCGTCTCTGCAGGCCAGGTCAGGGGGCCCGGGGGTCGCCATGACATCACAAAGCCTGAGTTGTCACAGAGGCAGGCTGGGGGTCCAGCGGGCAGCAACCAGCACTGGACCCTGGCGAGGCCCCGCTGGACAGTCGCGCCCCGCAGACCCGGGCCGGAGCCAGCACCACCATGGCCGGGAGAAGGCACCGCTGCCGCGCGAGGCCCCGCAGGCCGTGCGTCTCCCGCTCCGCGCGGGCCGAGCTGCAGTTCCCCGTGAGCCGCGTGGACCGGCTGCTGCGCGAGGGCCACTACGCGCCCCGCCTCCGCTCCGCCACGCCCGTGTTCCTGGCCGGCGTGCTCGAGTACCTGACCGCCAACATCCTGGAGCTGGCGAGCAAGGAGGCGCAGAGCCACCGCAGGATGCGCATCACGCCGGAGCACGTGCAGAGGGCGATGGACAAGGACCAGCAGCTCAGCCTCCTCTTTGAAAAGGACACCCCGCTGGAGGTGTCCCCGCACCTCGGGGAGGGGGTGCCCCAGTGAACGCTCGTCCCCGAGCCGGATCAGCCTCATCTCGTGCCCTCCTGACCCACAGATGAGGGGGCCTGGGCTTCTGTGGTTAACACACCCTATTAAAGTGTTTAAAAACAGAACAACGTGTCTAAGCAAGTTTCTACTTCTGTACAGAGGAGGCTTAAATATCGCAAAAATGCTATGTACGATATCAAAATGAAAACCTATTTGATTTTTTTAAAGATTTATTTATTTATGCAAGAGCTGGGGTACAGGCCAGATGTGCAGGAGGGTGAGAGGATTCACCAGAGACAGAGTGGGGAGCAGAACAGGCAGACTGACTGAAATCCACTGCTGAGGGGAGCAGCGTGCGAGACAGGAGAGGTCTGCTGCGCCATGTGGGTATCCCCATGGCCGGCGGGGATGGAACCAGCACTGCAGAGGCTGCCAACAGCTTCACAGCACTGCACTCACCCACCTGCGCCACCAGGGAGGCCCTTGATTATTTCTTTTTTTTTTTTTTTTTTTTTTTTTTTTTAATAGAGGCATGCTTTATTTATTTGTTTGCTGGTTTGTTTTGTTTGTTTTGTTTATACATGCACTGGGTACAGTCCGAAGTACGGGAGGGAGGGTGAGAGAATTCACCAGAGCCAGAGCGGGGAGCAGAGCAGGCAGAAGGACCGAAGTACACTGCTGAGGGGGAGCACGGCAGGAGAGGTCTGCGCGCCATGTGGGACCCTCCTCCGGTGGCCGGGGAGCAGCCGGGGATCGAACCGGCGCCGCAGAGGCCGCGCGCAGTTTCGCAACCCAGCGCTCAACCGCTGCGCCACCGGGGAGGCCCTTGATTATTTCTTTATTCAAAGGAAATACATAATCGTTTCTATGTATGTGATATATGTGTGTATATACGTGTGCATATGTGCATGTGTGTGATATGTGTGTATATACGTGTATGAATCCCATAATAAAATGTTCTAACACGTACAAGTGTGGTGACTTTATCCAGCTAATAGAAAAATGACTGATCATTTCTGGCTGCCAGGCATAAGGCAAGTCTGCTGGGGCCTCTTGATATTGTTACTTCACCAAGGAACTGCTAATGAGATACGTCCCCCCTTCTCTGGTCTTGAGTGTTGTTATCTGGAACTTGAGGCCCACGTGGAAATCAGCCAAGGAGCAGGGGCAGGCCCTTGCATTTGGCTCTGCTAAGAGGGAAAGAAACTGTGTTCTTGGTGATGTTAAGGAGCCAGTGAATTCCGGACTCACCATCCCTCCAAGTTTTATGATTTCCTCACTAAATATTCTTTCAAAAAATTATTTATTTATGCTTATAAGAACTGGGGTACAGGCTAGAGATGCGAGGGGTGAGAGGATCCACCAGAGACAGAGCGGGGAGCAGAACAGGTTGACTGACTAAAATACACTGCTGAGGGGAGCAGTGGGTGAGACAGGAGAGGTCTGCTTGCCATATGGGTCAGCTCCCTGGCCAGGGATTGAACTCATGCTGCAGTAGCTGGTGTTAGCTTCATAGTGCTGAGATTTAACCCCTTGTGGCCCCAGGGAGCCCCTCACTAAATTTTCTTTAGCTGAGGGCAGGATTCTCAAAGTGTGAGCTCCGAAGAGGTCCCTGAGACACTTTCAGAGAGTTCTTATATTTTCAGAGAGTGCTATTCCTCATTCTTTCAGCGGGAACAGTAGCGTTTCCCAGAGGCTCCATGATGTGTAACACGCAACAAATCAAACACAAAGGTGGTGGGAAAACCAGGTGGCTTCTGTGAAGTCATATACTGAGAGATTTGTAAAAATGTAAACGATACTACTTTGCTGATACCATTTTTTTTAAATACACGGTGGAATATTACTCAGCAATCAAAAAAGATAAACACATGCAGTTTGCAGCAACATGGATGGAGCTAGAAGGGATCATGCTCAGCGAAATAAGCCAGAAAGAAAAAGAAAAATACCGGATGGTCTCACTCATAGCAGAAATTTAGGAAACCTAAATAAGGGACCAGGAGAAAGACTAATTAATACAAATAAAAATCAAAATCAACAAGCAACTATAAACCAGAGACACACTACGGGGGAGGGAGGGGGACCCTGGGAGAGGAAAGATTAGGGTTAAAATAAGGGGGGGTGGGAACTGTATGGGGTATATAACCAAAATGAAAATGCATGCATTGTGAAAAAATGAAAAATGATGTAAGAATTATACAAAATAAAATATTAAAAAATCCTGATAATTTTAAATTAAAATCTCAACATGGGATAGGTATCTGTTAAAGTGAATGAATAAATATATACTTTAAATGTTCTCCAATATATTTTTGGCATAGTAAATATTAATAGAAATCATCCAAAGACCAGCGGTCCTTTAGATCCTCAATAATTTTGAAGAAGGTCAGGGATTCTGAGATCACATATTTTAGATCCACGAGTCTAAACCAATGTGGCTTCGTGTCTTCTGACTGAATGAGGCTTATTCACTGTTAAGGATTGTTATTCTTGGTGTGGGAAGGAGGCAGGGCTGGTGACTACAGTCTGTTCCTTTTGCTCACAGTTTTAGAATTTTAATTTATCCTTAAAGGTTATCAGTTCAGAAATGTTCCCTGGATGTAAAACGTTTTCCTCTGCTTTTTCTTTCACTAACACTTTTGCTTGGAATGCGGAGATTCAGTCCGCACAGGTTTATTCACTGCATGTTCTCTTGCATTAACTCCTCAGTTCTTTTCTACATCCCCCCACCGCCCCATGCCTTTCATTTCGTTTTTCATACCTTGTTTTCTCCTGGTCCTTTTCATCAGGATTCAGGGGGGATGGTGCACGCTGCTTCTTTCTAATATTGATTTCAGGCAGCATCAGTTCTGTTCAGTTTCATTTGTCATTCTTCCACTGGGGCTCAGTATTCTCGAAACCCGTTTCATCTCATCGTCTCCCTTTGCATCCAGTTTTGTTTTCCTTCCTGTTCTCTGGATATTGTCCTTTACTTTTTATGGGGACAATTTCATAGTGTATTTCACAGAGCACACCACCTGTGGGCCCCTCAGTGCCATGGGTACTTAGTTGTGCATCATTTCCCTGGGGGTGCCTCTTCCTCGCCCCACCATTTCCCTCCTAGAGGTGGCTGAGCAGGGAAAACACTCTTCAGCTGAGTGGATAGAGAGACCCACAGGTTGCTGCCTTTCTCCTGTGTCAGTTTACCTGCTTTCACTTACAGCTGGAATGGGGGCAAGCTTATGCTCCCCTCGACTTTGCATGGATCCCGAGGAGCATTTGCTTCTGTCCCCTCTGTCTTTTGTTGCTTCGGGCAATACCACACTGACAAAGACATGGGAGTCGTGGAGCAGGCTACATAATGCAGGATACTGCTGAGAGCAAGATCCTGGCTGTTTTTATTGATAGAGTAATCACAGAGCATCAGCTACGTGGTTTAGGAGGACAAGGAGAAAGGATGGTGACACTCAGGAATGTCATCTAGGGCTTGGGGGACATGAGTCTGCTGACCATGTTATCAGCCTGATGACCAAGTGTTGTCATTGAAGCCAGACCCCAGACCCCTGACCACCGTCCTAATCTTATCAACGAGGCATTTCATTGATCAGCTTCTGGGGTCCTTTTCATACATCAGTCCTCGGCCCCCCCGGGCGTTCCCAGTCACACCTCATGATGTGTGAGTCGGGAGTAAGTTTATGCAACCGTCCTCAGCCCTCTGGGCATTCCTGGTCATACCTCTTGATGCATACCCTTCCCAGGGTATCAAGCTTTCTGCTCTTGATTGATATGAAAGGCACCTTGTAAGGTTTGGCTCCTGCGGCTCATTGAGCGGTTCTGAAGGGCAGTTCTGACCTTGTATAGGAATGCAGGACTGCAGGTAACTCTAATGGCAGCCGAACAGGCCGTCAAGTCTAGCAGACCCACAGTCTTTTAGGGTTGTCCTTCCCACTGCAGGCCAGATGCAAACGCATGCAGGTGTCAAGGCCAGCCCACAGCCAGCCCCTACTGCCCAGGTTCCCTCCAGGGGTCACTGCCCCCAAATGTTCTGTGGGACTCTCTTTCTTCAACTTTCTGTTGTCCAAAGTTTCTAATGTTGGGTTAAAAGAAGATACCAGGGAGGGGTAGGGAAGGGGCTGAAAGGAGACAGGAAAGACGCATGCTGACGGAGGAGCCAGCTTGAGTGGACAGAGGAAAGACCAGGCCCCTCTGTGGCACAAGTCCAGGGAGTGCGGCAGCTCTGGGAGCTCCCTCTGCACAACTGCACAACTGCGGAGCTCCCTGGACTCCTGCAGCACCACAGCGGGGGCCCAGGAGCTGGCTGCAGCCCCATTTCTATTCAGTTTGGTTTTTTTCCTTTCTTCCACCTTCTCAACTCCTCGGCCACTGCTTCATGCTCCTCCCGCTCATTTTCTCCTCACATCCTTCTTTCTCTTCCCAACACTCCTCTTCTTCCTCCTGCTGCCTCCTCTTGCTCCTGTTATATGAGTGAAGGTCTTCAGGTGCAGCATGTCTACAAGACATCTTCAACATCACCCAACAAGTATGTAGTAAGACTGAGGTTCAAACACTTCAGTGTCCACCCTGAGAACCAGCATGTCTTTCGACTTCCTTACCTACTTTATTTCAGCCCAGTCTCTGCACAAGCACAGGGGCTGGAGAACGAGGGGATGTGGTTGGGTTGATGGCCTCAGTAGTCACTCAGATCCCTCACAAGCTCTTTTTCTGTTCCCTGTGTTATTGTGAATACCTAGAAAGGATCATCTTGTATTTTGTGTGGATTTTATTCAGAGACTAAAGACTGAGTCTAGGTTTTGTGCCCAGCACCTGGCACTGTGTGGAAGTGAGTGCTGCACGGAGACTGCCTGAGTCTAACTGTGACTCTCATTAGAGGTGTGACCTTTGGCAGGTTACCTAATCCCTCTACGACTCAAAATGCTCACACATAAAATGAAGAAAATAATACTGATAAGTGATGTGATCTATGGAAAGCATTTAGGATAAAGTGTTCAATAAATATAATCATTATGTGCAATTCAGATAGTGCTGTTTTCTAATGGATTTGACAATGATGAGGCACTGTTTTATTTTTGTTTTTTTATTTATATATATTTTATATCATTGATCATTTTTTAAAAAAGTTTGT